GAGAGAGAGAGAGAGAGAGAGAGAGAGAGAGAGAGAGAGAGAGAGAGAGAGAGAAAGAGAGCGACGGTTTGCAGTTTTAACGGTTGCGGCGACTTGTAAATTCCGCGGAAATGATAGCGGTTGTTTAATAAGTTTAACCGGCAAACTCCGACTGGTGAGAAAGATCGCCGTAAGATTTCAAATAAATATCTAGTGCACCTTGCAGATTCGAGAAGCTCTCTGCTTCTTCACTTGCTGTCATTTAGCTATTCATAACTGCAGAAACGACTAATCTCGCAGTTCGTTAAAACTTTATAAAGAGTAAAAAGTTTCGTTTTTCGGCACTGAAATAATAACGAACAGTTGAAAGCGCCACGGCGAGATGCCGCGCCGAAATACACATCTCCGAGATACAAAAGCACGTTGTACAATAGCGTGCGACACACTGAACTGTTAAACTTAACTTCCGTAATCTCGAGTAACTAAATTTTTTAGGAGAAACCTATTGCTAAAAATGGATCTTACCGTTCTGCCGCTCGAATAAGCAACAGACTGGTCGCAGCTGCGTACTTATTTGGGTTTACACCCGCTGTTTTCTAATAAAAGTTTAATGGCTGCTCAATTAATTTATCGAGTTTACTTTGAAATAAGAAATACGTCGCTTCTTGTTATAAGTTTCTCAAACGTGAGGCAATTTTGCAAAACTTCCTAAATAATTCAAGCGTTATAAATTTGATTAATTGGAATTCCTTCCTGATTATTGATCTTCCTGAGCGATTTTGAAGTGTTAACCTGTTAGTGCGATATTTTCAATAATAATAATAATAACATTTGTTATGTCCGTAACTAAGGAGTCAAAAATAAAGTTAAGAAATTTCGCATTTAAATTTTATAACTCGAAAACATAATAAGGCAAGAGAACGAAAGCAGCGTATTTTTCTTGAATTTTTCCCAACCTTATGTGTACGTACTCCCGGTAGCGCCATGAATTTTAAGATATAATACTGTGTATCTATTATCTACAGAATTAATTTTGTAAAACAGATTACTCCCTGGACCTTCCGCAATTATTCTAGTTTCTCTTTCATTTTTACTTTTCTCTATTGGGCACAGTACACTTTGTGCTGTTCTGTAGGATACCCTTCAACATTAATTGTAATCCTTTATTATCCGAGTTATTTCGACTTTACCGTTTTACTAAACCGCTCGCATTCATCCACTTTAACAAACTCGACTTAACTGCAAATTAATAATGACAACTCGGTTACTTCGTTATGTCTCGAGAGACATTTCGTGAAACGTCTTTTGTTTGCTTGTAACACTGCTGAAGCTGATACTGATATCTCGATATTGTGAGGTAAACAAGTCGAAGAAAAGTCAGTACCAACTCAGCCCAAGAACCTGTCATTGAAATTAAGATCAGGTATTCTCCGGGGGACATTTTTATATAGAATGTCCCCCGGAGGAAAAGTGCCCAAGTAGTTGTAATTGCTCGATTTGTTCCGGAAGTGGAGTTTACCATTTTTCAATTTTACGTTTTGTGCCAACTCTCCTACAGGCTACGCTCGTTAACGCGCCGAGAGATTTATCTTCCGCTTTCCTTTCGTCCTTTAGCTGTTTATCGATCCTCTTCTTGCCGCCGCTCTATTCGTCACGATCGTTACGGGGGAGTAATTAGCGAGCTGAAAGTTGGCGGCACCTATCTGGACGCTCGAGAAGTCTCTTTCAGGAATACGGAAAAGTAAGATGACGGCGGCAGTCTTCTAACTTTGCAAGATTTCTACACTAAGTGAAGTTAAGACGGATCCATTGCTTCAGAAAATGATTATGTTTGAATCGCCGAGTACAGCCAGTTAATAACAATCTTTTTCGCTACTCTTCGTCTCAGTAAAAAAAAAATGTTTTAAGTGTCCTACGTAACGATGACGTTAAAAAGTTCTGCCTGTGTTAATGATTGACTTTCGAAATTAGAACGAGAAGATTGTAAATTTTAAGAGCGGCGTTGGTAAATCTAAAAAGATGAATGCGACGTAACTGCGGTAATGAACTCCGTGCACGCGGCAAAAACCTTTGTTTGGCATTGCGACTTGAGCAACACTTGAACAATCGAATGCAAGTAAATTCACAATGTCCTTTTAGCGACGGCCTCGCGTTGACGATGTAAAACTAGTTATGAAAAGTCCCTTACAATCTAGCTGTTCTGATGGATCGGTCGTGCTCGATGCGGAATTCTCCGCAAATCAAATTAACGACTTTTTCTTTCCACACCATTCTTTCGCCAACGTCGGCAAACAACCAGCTTATTTTACAGCTCGCTCGTTTCCACTGCACGGAAATACATTTGTCATCCTTATGCGGAGTCATCCATACGTAGAAATAAACTATAATACCCATTTCCGCAAGAACGTGCTGAATGCCGGTCAAATTGCGATGTATGTGACCACAGAGAGATTTTACTTTACAGGAAATCGATTATTTCATTTATTATTATACCTCGGGAGGAGCTCGCCCATTTCAGTTATTTATATCACTGCCTCATATCATATTCCATTTGTTTCCCAGTAATGATAAAACCGTATAATATTTCCGCGCGAATATTATTCTCATTATATCGCTAAAATGACTAAGAAAAGAAATAAGAAATGACAATAAAAAGATTTAGTTTCAGAAATAATTAAAATCTTGTGTTTCACGTTCTTCTTTGCGATTCATATCTATATATTTATTTGAAATTTAGAACCGATATTTCTCTCAAAGAACAGGACCAACGATGTCATAAAAATGTGATAAATTTATGAATCACGATACGTTTTTTGAACGCGATTTGTTTAAAAGAAATAAGGTAAAACGAACAGCGAAAGTAATAGCGTGACAAGCCGCGAAGTTGCAATTCGCGCATATATTTGGATTGACTGTGCCAGACATTATTTATATTTCGCGATTCAAGAGCCTCGTCGACGTGACGTAACTTTGGCTGCTCCATAGGAGAAAAGATTAAAGAAAAACACGCACGAAAGGTTACGATGATGAAGTCCGACGTCCCGCAGTGGGCCAATTTGCCGCGAAAAAATATCTCTCTTATGTGTTTCACAGGTCTGTTCAAACTACAGGATCTCGTGAAATCCCCGCCATCCGTGAGAACTGAAATGTACATTCGTCAGGCAGGTCCTAGATCCTACAGGCAGGTCCTGCGGGAGATCAGACACAAAGAGATTTTCAAGCTGATTGTTGACACGGATCCGGCGCACATGCAGCAATTCTTTCGAGCGGTGAGTTCTGAACGACATTTCGATAACTACCATCGTTATTTGTGGTGCTTAAACGTTGGCCGCGACATTTTCTCTTTTCGCACGCTAGAAATTTTCGCCACCCCTATGTTTTTTTTGTTTCGTACACAATTGACCATTCCTCTTCCATCACCCGAAAAACACCACAGCGCGAAAACCAGACGTGAGTGTGGCGTACCGATTTTTCTATTTTTTTTTCCACGCCGCTTAATCTCCCGCATGATAAACCTGACAAGTTGTTTTATCCATACAGATATCATATGTATAATATTTTTTTCGACACAATGTAAAACAGCGCAGAAAAGATAGCAAATCATGCAAAACGAGCTATTGAAATTTACTCACGCCGTTATTTACATACGTCATTATTCTTCACTTCGAATAACGCAAAAATACTAGTAACAAATATCCTCTATAGATTTTTCCTCGTCAGTTTATAAATATGCTTATTCCACTTCTAATGTTTGGGTATTTTTCACATCTCTTATCTTTTTCTCAAAAACCTGCGTATATATGTAATTCGTTTAAAATACGGAGGATAAACTGTGAATGTGTAGTTCAAGCGAACAGATGCTATGCACACGCGGAACGGAACTAAGTTAAAGCTTGCCTCATAAAGGGGAAATATTACAAGCTCTCGGCGAAAAATCTCCCCGTGTGCTCTTTTGCGAACTGACAACGTTTTCCGCGGTGTAGCCGGAGAAAGAGAGCGCGAGGAAAGCTGCCGATCGATGCAGCGGACGCAGCGCGGGCGATACGATGCAGTTTCGGCGTATCTATGGATCGTGAGTGGTCGTCCCTTGTCTCACGGGGGACACTTAATCTTAATACCCATCCAAGTATATCTGTTAGGTCGCGTCGAAAACGATACACGCAGGAAAAGCAGCTCGAACGATCGTATAGATGGAACAATGGGAACAACAAGTTGTTTACCGGATGTAAAATGAAAAAGCAGAAGGATAAGAGAGAGGAGGGAGGGGGTGGCACAGAATGAGTGGAACAGAGATCCACACGCGTTCAGGGTGCGCCGCGACTCGTAAATAACTTCCCCAGAATCATGCGCGAGACTCGGCGCGCGGAGATTAAAAGGACTCGTACAATTAGGATTAATGGCGGCTGCGTTGCAGTTTTTTTTTCCTGGCGACGCTTGTTTTGCCCATGCGGGACTATCTCTCGGTTTGAAAAAGGAACCGGAGAAGGAAGGAATGTAAGGGCCGACATGGCTGGAAAAAACATCGTGTACGGAATCGTAATAAAGCCCTTTATGTTGCGCGCGGCTCGCGACGCAAAGCATACTCGTGTTCTGTAGTTCGCGTTCGTTGTAATTGAACCATTCGTTACGATACTCGTTATTACAGACAGTCAAACTTTTCAAGATTCTTTGAGCAGTATATGGTTGCGAAAGTATTGGGTTGCGATCCATAAGTTCGTGCGGATTTTCAAACAAAATGCATTTTATTCTAGCTTAATGATCGATAATATACGCGTCGTTTTGTGTTCGACAATCTTTTGCGTAATTTCATAATTCCTCTTTCGTAAAATTCTTGTGTTTTTTCGACGAAGATATATTCCAAGTGATTTTTCACATCTTCTAAAGAAACGAAGTTCATATCGTCAAGGGAGTTTGGCAATGAGCGAAGCGGATAATGATTCGAGCAACATTGGGTGAATATGGTGTGAAGGAGGCAAAGCATCACAACCAAATCTTTTACGGAATTTTTATAGAAATACAAAAATATAATGCACCAGAAAAACTTATTACTGCCTCCTATTTTCACAAAGATAGTTGTACTTCCTTAAGAGAACTTGATAAGCGTCGATAACGTATAGCGATCATCAAAAAGTAGAAAACGTTATCATCATTTATCGACAATATCGAATTTATGTACACATAAATACTTATGGAATAAAGACGATCGTTAAATAGGCGCTAACATGATACCGCTATCATCTTTTCACAGATGCAAGTGTGTGTGCTACAATTTTCTTACACAAAGACGTTATGTAAATGTGAATGCCACGTTGTCGATATTCGCATTCTTTCCAAAATAGGCTCTTGCTACTTTTATGATAAATTCTTCAAA